GCGGTGACCCCCCGGTGCCCCCCAGGACGGGCAGGCCATGCTGTGGGACCTGAACGAGGGGAAGCACCTCTACACCCTGGACGGGGGGGACGTCATCAACGCCCTCTGCTTCAGCCCCAACCGCTACTGGCTCTGCGCTGCCACCGGGCCCAGCATCAAGATTTGGGTACGGAGACTGGGGGAACTGGGAGAGACCCCTGGGAGAGCTGGGAGGGACCCCTGGGATACACTAGGAGAGCTGGGAGAACTGGGAGAGACCCCTGGGAGAGCTGGGAGGGACCCCTGGGATACACTGGGAGAGCTGGGAGGGACCCCTGGGATACACTGGGAGAACTGGGAGAGACCCCTGGGAGAACTGGGATACACTGGGAGAACTGGGAGAGACCCCTGGGAGAGCTGGGAGAACTGGGAGGGACCCCTGGGATGCACTGGGAGAGACCCCTGGGATACACTGGGAGAGCTGGGAGAACTGGGAGAGAGCCCTGGGAGAGCTGGGAGGGACCCCTGGGATACACTGGGAGAGACCCCTGGGAGAACTGGGAGAGACCCCTGGGATACACTGGGAGAGCTGGGAGAACTGGGAGGGATCCCTGGGATACACTGGGAGAGCTGGGAGAACTGGGAGGGATCCCTGGGATACACTGGGAGAGCTGGGAGAACTGGGAGGGATCCCTGGGATACACTGGGAGAGTGGCAAGAGCTGGGAGGGACCCCTGGGAGAACTGGGATACACTGGGAGAACTGGGAGGGACCCCTGGGATACACTGGGAGAGCAGGGAGGGACCCCTGGGATACACTGGGAGAACTGGGAGAGACCACTGGGATACACTGGGAGAGCTGGGAGAGACCCCTGGGATACACTGGGAGAGCTGGGAGGGACCCCCTGGACACCAGGGGAGGGATCAGGAAGGACTCGAGGGACCCCTGGGATACCCCGGGACATCTGGGAGGGACCAGGAGGGACTCGAGGGACCCCCTGGCCCCCTCAGGGACCCCCTGGGATAACTGGGATAGCTGGGAGGGGCTCCCTGGGATAACTGGGATAACTGGGAGGGGTCCCCGGGGCCGGGGGGTGTCTGTGATGAAACCCTTTGAGTGTCTCCGACGAGCCCGTGAGGAAACCCAGAGGCTGTTTCTGAGCCAGGCCCGGCTCCGGTGGGATTGGGGGGGATCCGGGGTGGGATCAGGGTGGGATCCTGAGCTGTGTCCCCCCTCCACACCCCGGGCAGGACCTGGAGGGGAAGATCATCGTGGACGAGCTGAAGCAGGAGGTGATCAGCACCAGCAGCAAAGCCGAGCCCCCACAGTGCACGTCCCTGGCGTGGTCGGCCGACGGGCAGGTGAGACCCCCGGCACCACCAGGGACCCTCCAGGGGGGAATAAAGGGGGTTGGGGATCCTCTGGGGGGGGACAGGGGGTTGGGGATCCTCCACAGGGGGGG